CTTATGTAAATCTAGACTTGAGCCTGATTATTAAATTGCCATGACATCCCAAGGAATTAGGAACTCTCCGGAGCTGTTCAAGAGGAAGTCCGGCTTGCAGTGTATTGAATGGAAGAATTTCCCAATGCGGTATAGCGCCCATCAACTTGTCGATCACGTTCTCGATTCACCCGCAACACAAGTGTTTCTACTTCAACTCTTATCTTTGTGGCTGCTTGTTTTATGCGATCTAGCATTGTGATTTTGTTCAAGCTTATTTGCAGCTCTACCCACTAAATTCAACGACCCACTGTGACTTCATACTGCGCTGCTGCCTGTTGCATGCAAGCTGCCCTTCCCCGCGAAATCTTACGGCGCACATATCCCCTGCTGCGGAGCTTTGAGACGGACGGCTTGATGATTGCTAGAGTCCTTAGACTGGGCCGTCCAAAACCGTTTGGATGCACCCTCTAAATCCTTTCCTCCGTGCCTTCTTCCGAAGCACTGTCCCGGGCCAGTGTATACCGGTCGAGAATCATGTAGGTGGAGGTTGTGAATCTGTTGTCGGATCATCCGGAGTGGCTAATTGGTCTTGTATATGTGTATCAGGTCTTGCTCGTTCCAACGACAGAGTCTCTCATCGGTTCACGCGACCGGGAGTCCAACCTGCTATATTCCGATCTTGTCGCGTCCGAGGAGTTCCTAGGGAGCCATGTGCTCCGCATCCCAATCCATACTGGGCCTGCGAATCCCAAAGAGGAGAACAGCGTGCGAGAAAATCGAGGGAAAGCAAAACAGGTGACCACATTCAATGGGAGGACGGTGATCATCAAGGACAACTCAGTGTACAGCAACAAAGGTGAGAGCACCTGTTGGCGAATGCGCTCGCCCAAATATTTAGCTAACGGGGTTATTTCTATTAGGATTCAAGTCACTCACACAAGCGCAACTGCTTTCCGACGTGCTATATTACAGCCCGTCCAATGAATCTCGCCCATGGCTGATTTACTACATCTCTCGCCCGTTGATCGGAACGTATGACCCTGCGAAGATCGTACCAGCTGCAGTCCCTGGGACCGACACCAGGATCGTTGGACAAACTACTCCCGACAAGAAATATGCAAATGGAGATTCAATTGGGACGCCACCAAAACAAGAGATCAAATCTTTCGGGGAACTGCTAGCCAATTACCCGATGATTGCCCGGCAGATGCATCCGGGTTTGGAGAGACTATTCAAAGAGTTTGGAAAGGAACTTGGTAAACCACTGCCGCCTCCACCCTCACGATCGCCATCTGCATCTGGTAGTGAACGCGTCCACAAGTTGTCCCGCACTGAGTCTTGGACAGACGAAAGCTCTTCCATCCGCAGCTGGTCATCACGCAGCAGAGGGCGATTACCTTTTAACTCGGAGGAGTACTTTGAGGACGACGAAGATCTCATGCGTCGCAGCTTGGAAACCGCGGTGACTGCTGCCATTGATCTTTTCCGCCTCGTTGACAAGCAGCAATTATCCTTGCTCGGTGCGACGACTGACCTCACCGGTCCTCTAGTAGAGCGGCTAATAGAACGTTATGTTGCTGAGCAAGTCCACGAGCCGCTGCTTTTCCCTCGCCTTTGTTCATTCCGCCAACCAGAGGACACAGAGCTGGATTCCCGCATTCGCCAGATGGAGAGCATTGATGTGTCGCAAGTTGGAATCACCGTTGAAGGTGGGCGTGAAGGGAAGCGAGAACTAACTCGCCGACTTGGGCGAGCTGTGGAAGAATTTCGGAAAATCAATGACGCTCGATGTCCCCATGATATGCTGAATACCCTCCTTGGAACGGTAAAGGTCATCTCCTTCCCTGGAAGTTATGATCAAATGGACGGTTCGGCATCTGAGAAGGGAACTCCCTCTGTCACGATCAACGCTGATGTCTTGGTGTCGCTGTTGCTTGTTGTTGTCATCCGTTCTCAAATACGGCATCTCCAAGCTCGATTGTTGTACATGCAGCATTTTATTTACATTGACGACGTTGACAACGGCGAGATGGGCTATGCTTTAAGTACATTTGAAGCAGTTTTGATGTATCTCGTGACCGATTCCGCTGGATTACGGCGTGCCAGCGTCCGGAACAGACGTTTATGGCAAGCAACAAAGTCCGGCAGAGTATCGGATATGAAATCCATACTAGAACCGAACGAGGATCACGAATCAATAGACGACACGACCCCACTGGAACCGGAGCGAAAGTCTGTACTATTCCAGACAGATGAAGCTGATGAGCCGGAGGATCTCCTTCTTGAGAACTCTTACACAAGTCATACGAATGGCGACTCATACCTGGATGAAGCTGTTGTCGATGCACCGCCACTATCCCATGTGTTCCCATTCCAAACTTGGGATGATCTTTCGATTATCCAAGAATCTCACCCTCATCGTCCAATTAAGAAGGTTTCAATGGACGTTCGCAGCCTATCAGAATCATCAGCCGTCTCATTCATCTCCAGGACCGCAACCCTCGGGTCCATGGCCAGTGGGATTGAAGGTGACAATTCGATTGAGACCTTGACAAAAACACAAGATCCCGCCGGCCATTCCATACCGATGATGGCAGTGGAGGCCCGTCAGGCCGAAGCTTTGAAGTATCTGTTGACGCTAGAGGAATACTACCCCCTGGAAGAAATCATTGAAGACACCAACGCCGATGGGACCACGCTATTAAACGCTGCGGTGCAGCTCGCGCACACTGAGATTGTCAAGATCCTATTGGACTTCCTATTTGCAAAGACAGAGTTAAATGTGGTTGCGTCCTACTTGACCAAATCTGACGTCCACGGTCGCACTGTTGCTCATTATCTTTTCAGCACACCCTCGCTACTAGGGAGAATAGGGAGCATTATCCCATGGCGACAACGAGATAAACATGGTCAAACACCACTATTTGCCCTTTGTCGATCATATGATCACCCAGAATACAAATCAATGGTTCAAGCCGGTTTGGCTGCAGCACAGTGGGCACAAGGCGATAACAAACCGCTTCAGCTTGATGATCATGTCGACGCGAAGGGGAATACATTGTTGCATATTGTTGGTGATCCTGAGATTACCCGACGCATATTGCAGACTAGCGATTGCGATCCCAACGCGACCAATGACAAGAGATTTACACCATTGATGATGGCGAGCAAGTACGGGCGAGTTGATCAAGTTCGCATTCTCTTCTTAGACCCAAGAGTCGATGTTTATGTTAAAGAAGCCCGTGGTTTGACAGCCGTGGAATTGGCCAAGGATGATGAGGTGCGGAATCGTATCGACGATTTGATCTTATTGTCCCACCCTCCATCAGCTTGTGGAGATCCTTCGGGTCGTGTTACAATGGTCGTGCGGTCGTACTTCGTCGAGGACGCAACCGTACGCTTCATTCTCAAATCCGGCGCGCCATTCCCTCCCACTGAATCTGTGGCATCATCGCGGCCCGGATCGACCACATACACCGTTACGACCTGCCGCCGCAATTTCTCCGACTTTGAGAATCTGGCCAAATGGCTTGCAGTAGAACATCCAGGATCTTACATGCCGTCTCTCTCGGATTTCCGAAATCCATTCCAGATCCACTCGAAGCCATCACGGTCTGTGCTCCATGATCTCCAGGAAAGACTAGACCGGTTCCTGAAGACACTTCTTGCCCATCCAACCTTTTCAACCCACGAAATGTTGTGGGAGTTCTTCCTCGTTCCAGAACTTCAGCCTGAGATGGTGGCCGACCGATCGTACCGCAAAGCTGTCGTACTCACAGAGACTATCGCGGACGAATATCCGGCGGTCTCACTGGAGGGCATGCGCGATACAGAGCAGTTCATCACCCACGCCCAGGAAATGGTGCGCGGTGTACACGTGAACACACGCTCCCTGATTCGCCGAGGGCACGCATTGCAAAATGCAACATCTGATCTCGCTGATGCGGTGATGATATGCTCGTCTGTCCTTGCTACACTCCGAGCGCCAACTAATGCACTTCCGATCTCACACATCGAGGCCTTTGCTCGTTACGCCACCTACCTATCGACCTCTAGATCAGACTCCTCCTCTCTCCTCCAGTATTTGGCAGCTCTTTCCTCAATCGATAACACAACGGCCGCAATTCTCATCTCTTTATCCCGTCCACTGGCCCTCATGTCTTCCCTCTCTTCAACAAACCGCCATATCTCTCGCTCTCGCTCCTCACTCCTCTCCTCCTCCCTTCCCCGCAAATTCAACATCAACCTGCCTGGCTTCGAGGAGTCTCGTCAAAAGTCAGTCCGTGACCTGGAACAAAAGATCCGCGATGGCGAATCCGAATCCACTCGGCTGGCGAAGGAGGTCTCATGGAACAAGGATGTCGTGGTTGGCGAACTTGCCGGCTGGACCTCATGGCGGGAAAGGGTCGGCCGTGATGCCATCCGAGCATTTGTCAAGGATACCCTTGTACGCGAAAGGGAGCGCGGCAAACGCCTTGAACGGTGCCTGCACAGTGTGCGCGATATGAATGCATGAATCATATATCCGAATAGATGTGAAGGACTTCCCGCTCTTTTTGTATCAGCTCTCATTTCCTACTTTACTACCTGTACATTTCATGGCGGACAAGTGCTCGAGAACTTTGCTTCTGTATGTGTTGCTTTTAATTTTTGTCAGTTTTATGTGTGAAGCGTCTCCAGGACTAGAATAGCGAGGCGCGNCCCTTTTTTTTTTTTTTTTTTTTTTTTTAGCTCAGAGACCATTCAATGAAATATCATGATCATTGATGTTGATTTCTTGTTCTCTCCTGACGTCAACCTCAGGCATCAAATACAAATATAGAAGGAGCCATACAAGAGCGCTGTCCTGCTCCTCCATTTTGTCGTCTCCCCATGGTCTAACTCTTGCATTCTCATATCTAGACTTGAAATTAATCTTTGAGCGTATGTTGCATGTTTCTTGCTTGGTACAAATAATCCCGACTGATTGTATACCCAGGTCCTCCGAAGTTGCAGTTTGATGCGTCTACCGAATCACCATGGCCAACCATCAAGTGAATCCCGCGTATTACTTCGAAGGCCACATGCTTCGTCGTTTATACACGGAGATTAGAGTCGGCAGTGGGCGCGTTATTCCCACAGAGTTCACTCCCCCGAGTCCAGATGATACACCACAGTCCTTGTTCCCACATTGCCCCAAAGCCACCGCAACGGATCGAGTCCATCGCTTCATCCGCCTCAATCACGACAAGCGCTCGGCCGAGGATGAATTCCTCATCTATACAGGCGCCACGTGTCTGGACAACGGCAGAATAAACGGCAGAGCGGGTTGTTCCTTTGTTTACAACAATTCCACATCTGGCTTCGCACGGCTTCCTCTCGAGTTCGAAGGCCCCACTGGTCAACATCACACTATGACCGTTGATAGAGCACACATTCGCGCCGCCATTGCAGCACTGCGATATCGAGACTGGGCTGCGGATGACTTCAGTCGTCTGATCATTGCGACAGACTCGGAATACCTGGTGGAGGGCATCACGATCTTGATAAGGGAATGGCTACATTCGAATTGGATGACGCACGCTGGGGAACCGGTCAGGAATCGGGACCTTTGGGAGTGTCTTCTTGGGGAGGTGGAAATATGGGAGGAGAGGGGGATGAGCGTTCAGTTCTGGCAGGTTCCTAAAGAAGCGAACACAAAGGCGGACCGTCATGCTAGACGCGGTGCGTTCATGGAAAGACATCCTGAATTTACCGATATTTCTGGTATCAGCGATGTTTCTGTCTAGAGGCAGACTCTCTACTTCTCTACCGGAACTTATGACGCGCCGATGAAAGGAGAAAGTGCTGACCAGGATCAGCCCCGAAAGATGGAGGCTCTGCTCGCATCAGAAAACACAAATGAAACTGTCACAGCCAATCCATGAACCCTATCTCTTGGGTGTTCGTTCTATATCTCTTATTGGATCCTTTCATATCAAACCATTCGCAATGAAATATATATTTTTAGTGTTATTCTTTCAGGTCCCTCAAGTTACACCCTGTACTTCCGCATGATACTCTGGGGCATGTCCCTCTAACAACAAGTTTTCTCAGTGAATACTATTTGCGTAGATGACCCTCAAGCAAATGGATGAATAGAGGACTGTCAGTGTTGTCTGCAGTTTAAGCTTAGTATTTCCCAACTTCCAGGTTGAATTAGCGTGTAACTGAGCAACATGATGAATAAGAAATAAGCACTGCAAGGACCTGGACACTATACATAATGAATAAGGGGTGTCATCAAAAAGAAGAACTGTTTCAACAACATTGACTTCCAAGAACATTAACGGTGAAAGGGAAAGGCAATCCCAAGCCATGAATAGAATCTGGCCCAAGCCCGAACTTCAACTTTGAACCAACTACCAAAAAGGCAAGACCAAACCAATACCCCACTGTATGCCATCAACGGTCAGGGCTGACTGAAAGGAAAGGGCATTGGGGGAACAGTGGTCCATTGAGGTTGATCATTTCCAGCCGGAACGTCCACCAACACCGGAGAAACGGGAGAAGTGGGACTTATCGATCCCACAGAGTCGATATTTCTCGAATAAGCTATACTCGGAGCGTCCGCTTCACTGAACATGTGGGATGCAGACTGCAAGACACCTGAACTGGACGGACGACCCGATGCACCATAAACATTCGACCGACGTGTATATACCGGTGATCTGCGTGAGGCCGATGGGCCAGTGGGACTTTGAGGGCGGTACGACCGGTTGGAAGATTGACTCAGAAGCGAAAATGTCTCAGTTCCGGGGGATGTCGTAGTCCAAACCTGGGAGGACCCCGCCGTTGGGATGACGGACGACGAGATAGATTCTCTCGGCGTAGCAGTTGATGAGTGGTGTCCCGAGATACTGCTCTGAGCCTGTTCCGACGGCGTGCTAGCAGAGGTTGTAGTCCAAGTCTGAGACGATCGCGATATTGGAATAGCGGACGACGAAATTGATGCTCTCGGTGTCGTGCTTGATGAACGTCGTCCCGAGCTACTCCACTGAGTCTGATCTGAGCGTATGTCATCAGGGCCCAATTCTTGAGTCGAAATATGTGTCAAGGCGTGGGTATCTGCAGATGAAGATCCTGAAGTGCTATATTTTGCGAGATAAGGCTGAGGTGGATACTTGCAGTGGTCAACATCGTCCGCGTCGTCAATTACGATGGCGATGGATGGAGATCCGCTTCTGCTGAGCATGATTGAACTCCGCTCGGGCTGGATATCTTTCATGAGGAAGTCATCTAGGGTCCTGCTTGTATCCTCGGCCAGGGACACTGCGGACTGGTCGAACTGGTCATTTTCATGACTCTCCTGGCGATGAAGTCGCCGGGCGCGTAGTCTTCGTCGAATGTACCACACCAACAAGTATATCAGTGCACCGAGAGTGAGGATTCCGAGAATGGCGGCCGTGGCAATGGCGAGCTTCCCGTAATCCCAGTTTTTCATGGTGGAAGGGTTGAAATAATATGGATGTCTTACTGTCTGAAGCTGGTGGATTATAGAGATAGATATTCTGGGTTGGATACATAGCACTGGTGTTAGCGCAACTCTGAAATAAAGCAGGTGCGATGTAGGGTTTGGGGCAACTACACTGGATTACAACACATATATATAGGAGGAGGCTAAAATCGAGCACCTATAGTATCAAGAAAGAATTATATATGGCTGTTAAACGGCCGCAATTATTGTGCTTATCTGTACTATAAGTTTTTGAAGATCACCTAGCACGGAATATCTAGGAAGGGAGTGGTTATAGAGCCTATGAAAATGAAAGACGTTATTCATACTCTGAAGGTATTTGATGAGTCAGAATACCTACAGCCCTAGAGGCTTCCAACCGCAAAATGTTCGCATTAAGGCGATTATTTCTCACAGTAGACCTAGCTACTGTCTTCCGATGTTGTCAACCCTAAAAGGATTTGGAAGCCTTGTTGCCTCAGGCCTAAATCAATCTTTTTTGAGGTCATTCTCGTCAACATCTTCTTGTCGACATATAATTTATCCATTTTACATTGATTGTCCTCTATGCAATTTATTGAAAGGCCGAGACAGAAAAAAACGATAAGTGCAAGGAGGAGAGAAAAGAGTAGGGCTGAGCTGGACTGTGGGTCTACATTTGAGGATATCTGTGCTAGAATTTGGGATTCAGGAAAATATAGCTCATAAATCTAAGACAATTTGGAGAAATTAGTATTTCCTCATAAGTGAGAGCTTTTAGAGGTAAATTCTTTACAAATTACATAGTGATTGTTGGCTTGTTTTCGACGAAAACTGCGGCTTTTTGTGGCTATTGAATGCAAAAGCCACAAGACAAGAAACCTTCCAAGGGTATCATCCACCGCTATCTTTCAAAGAGAGCCGGTCAAGGTGTTTAAGCTAAAAGTGGTCCTATGCATCTGCGAATATGGCGCTAACAATATGATATCATCACAGATAGTAGAGGTTGAGAGGCTATCACATTCCACAGTTCTTTCTTCTCCACTTTGATCTCTCTCCCTAGCGTCTGTGTTACCTTAATCACCGATCTTGATCTGATCGGCACTTGTTATCATTTTATATTCCGATCAGTAGAGCTTATACTATTATATATAATATGTTGTATATATCCCCCAGGAGTACTCGGTATATAGCTTTTAATTATAGGGTCAAGTTCCAATATGGAATTCGAAACAGATGAGCAACTTCCTCCTACCTTCGAGCCATATGTGGCCACCCCATTGGATCATTCTATGACACCAACTCACCTCGCAGCTTTTCTCACTTTCTCTCTTGATAAGCCCTTCAAAGCCATCCCAATTCTAGAGGCTGGAGTCACACGCCTCGTCAGATACTTACCCTTTCTGACTGGAAATGTCACGTTCTCGACCCTAATACCACACAAGGAGAATGTCTTCGAGATACAACCCCCAACAAAGCAATTCCTATTGGAACATCCCATGCTCAAGATAAAGTATCACGAACAGCCCATTTTCTCCCAACAATCGTCTCTGGTTGTGGCACAGGACATCGTTCTAAGCGAGGACATTATCCCGATCCCCTTCGCGCTGGCGGAGGACTACCCAAGTCCCATCTTCAGATTTCAAGCCAATGTCATGCCAGACGGAATCATTCTCTGCTTCAACTTCCACCACACGGCGATAGATGGCATTGGGATAGCTGGTATCATGGACGCGCTTGCAGTGTGCTGTCGGGATCCAGATGCGGGTCCGGAAATACTACGAACAAGCCCCCTGAAAGAACAGTCCTCGATGCAGAAAAGATAGCAAAACTTAGGACTGAATGTGCAACCATCCTAAAGAATCAGTCCAATCCCCATGCCAGCAAAATCTCTAGCAACACCACCCTCGCTGCAGTGATCTGGCTGTGCACGATCAGAGCCAACATAAAAACCAAGCCAACGCCAGCGCCAACTAAATCCTGCGCATTGTTAGTCACCGAAGCGCGGTCAAAACTACGACCAAAGCTGCCACTATCGTACATCGGCAACGCGGTGATTCTTCAGCCAGTATACACACCTCTCACAGCGATTGTTTCTTCCACGACTAGTTCCAACTATAACACTCACATCACACCCCGACTTGACTACGACGATATCAAGCTCCTCGCTGAGCTTACAAGTTCAGTCCACACTGCTCTTGGTTCTGTTTGCGACGAAACTATCCGGGAACTGATCTCAGCCATTGCCGCGAGCAACAACTGGGCTGCAAATCCTCGCCCGAACGACGTTATAATTAGCTCGCTGCGGAGCTTCCCAACTTACTCACTTGATTTTGGACCGGGATTCGGACCAGTGAGGGATTTTGATATGCCAGAACGTCGTATTCCTGGTCAGGCGTGGATTATGCCAGCACGGTACAAGGGCCAGTCTTCACCCTGGGAAGTGAGGCTGGCGCTGGATCCTGGGGTTATGGGAAATATTGAGAAGGATAGGTTGATGACGTGGCTTGGGCCGAGGGAAGTATCCAAGGTGTGAGTCACTGTGGAAGAGGCGTGTTTATAGAAGAAGTTGGCATCGGTTTGTAAATGGCCTGCTTTAGCACCTGATACTCTACTCTCTGTGAACTCAAAGGACTTTAATGCTTTCTTGTGTCATAAGGATGTGGCGAATTGAGCAACATCAGGTCTAGGAACATGACTTTCGATAACTAGGCGATGAGCTTGAAATTGATTGTAGCGTACGAGTTTTTGCTGCTACCTTTTTTCTCTCTCTTTCTGACCCTCCCGCAACGGGGTAACGTAGGCAGTACCTAACGTGTTGTTCATAGCCAATTATAACTTTCAGTACTCTGTACTCTTCTAGCTTCATAAATGATATAATAAGTTTGAATGAAAGGAATGCATTAGAGAATAAGCCATAGCAAAATTATCCCCGATCTACTGTGGAGATTCAATACACGTAGAGTCGTTGTTATTAGACCTAGGAGATCAAGTTTTACAGCAGATTCGTCAAAAGGATCGCAGAGTATACTGGAAATTTTCTTTGTCATTCTTTTTTTGTTGAAACTCGATATCTATTTGCAATTTGAAAACAGAAATCGCGTTTTACACAAAAGAGAAATTTGCATCAGCCGAGGTCCCGGATATCAATCAATCAATCAATCAATCAAAGTTCAATTAACCTATTGCAGTCTAACTAGTTGCGTATGACTATGCAGGCGCTTCTTCCAACTGAAGCAAGAACTCGAGTCCTAACGCCGAATCCCAGGGGAGTACAGATGTGAGTGTGGAATCAGCCCATTCCTGTAACCCGTAAATCCCGTAAACCCAATCCCATACCCAATCCCATACATAAGAAATTATTAAATGATTGCCGTGGAGTACACCTTCCACCTTCCAGCTCCCACTTCCCATTTCTCGCTCTCTCTTCTCCCTCTCTGTCTTCTCCCTGCCTCGGTTTCAATTGGTGGTGGTGTTCTTGGTGGCCAGTTCATCGGCATGGTTGTCATCCCTGGCTGAGTTTCTCGTTCCACAGCTTCACTTTCGTCATTGGCTAATACCCATCGTCTTCCACACCTAGATCCATTGCCGCAACGCCTACCGGTTCGTCGTCGTCGTCGTCCTCGATCCCAACATGTTGGAACTGCCGGAGGAGACCTGTTTGGTGCATGAATTTGACCACGTAGCGGGTGGCCTGCGGGTTCGAAATGATCTTGTCATAATCCATCTCGATGCCGAGATCATACAACTGGTCCCATAATTTCGTGCGCGGGAAGATATACCGCGGGCACTGCATCAGGACATGTTTCGGCGTCTGCGAGCCCTCGTCGCATGGACACCGGTCGGACTCTGCCGCCTTGATCTTGAACAAGAAGTGACGCAGTCCGATCCGCATTGTGCGCATCTGAATCAGGATCGCACACTGCGGCTTCGTCAGTCCTTCGTACAGCCGGAGCGTCTTCTTGTTCGGCGCTTGCACCAAGCGTTTTGTCGGTGCGGAGGTTGTCTCGCGCTCCCACTGCCGCTCCCATCGCTCTCTGATTCGCTGGCGTACCGCTCTCTTAGCAGCTGCGGCGAGGCGGATAATCGGTTCTCCGAGGTCCCGGATATCATCGGAGTCTCAGGTGGACATCGATTTATGTTGTACTCCACTCCATATGAGGATCGGGGTCGGCATGATTTTATGTATTCATAGTTGCCTCGCAGCCTTCTTCCTGCCTTTCCTCTCATCGATTGGGGTTTCAATTGCGCAGTTCTTATAAGAGATAATTATGGCTCTAGGGCGTACTCATCATGCGGTCTATGCGAACGTTTTCCTTTAAAGTCTAGAATTAAATTCAACCATTTGGAATACAAAAGCACATCCTGCGGTGCGAAGTAAATAAGGTTTGAATACAGCCTTAAGTTGTACAGGCAGATGTGCTATTGGTCTAGGCTCTATAAGAGTAAATACGGAGCGAGTGGACTGTTTGACTTCGGACAGTCGTTTGCCCGTGTCTGAGGTTCATATAGGAATAAAGGGACGATATAATCAGATGAGTATAAGTACGGAGTATGGAGTCTTGAAACAATTATTGGGGATATCAGGACAAGAGGTCGTAATACGTCGAGATGGTCCATTCCCCGCTTTGGATCAAGGAAGTGCATACTCCGTAAATAACTCGAAGAGACCAGTAATCAGGGCTATTATTTGTTCTATTTCTATATTCGGGGTTAGCTGACGGCTCTTCTTTTCAAGACTCCATCCAAGCCTTGGCATTTGGCATTGGCATTAAGTAAAAAAGCTTTTTTTCTTCCCTTTTTCTTCCCTTTTTCTTCCCTTTTTCTTCTCACAAATATAACTTGTGATCTCCACCTCAAGACTCTGTTCTGTACTCCGTCCGGCATAAAGGCTATGACCATCCAGTTCCCAAGACTGTATTGTCTGTCGGATATCCTTGGATAAATGCGTTCAGCAGATGCCCTAGAATATTTATTAGACATAAAGCCCTAGTAATACAGGGCTCTTAAAGCAGGACTCCCAACTCCTACTAAAGCAAGATTAGCGCTTTATCTGGATCCTGTTTGATGTCATTTATGCCTTTTTCTGCATACAAGGCACATCCAAAGCCTAAAAAACGAAAAGCAAACAAAGTGCGGCGAACCCCCCAACCCCGGAAAGAAAGCGCATGATGGCGGTCCAATCGGAGTAGCAATTGATAGTGTATGCTTTCGATACAAGAAGCCAACATTCTCTACATCTTAAAGTGATATGACTAATGCTTTTCTAGATACTTTAAACAAGTAGTGCCACTTAATAGAGATTATGACAAATTTGACAGTTCTTGGCCCCTATAGAAGGGACCCTTGGAATAGAGTTATTGATTGGAGGAAGATACAAGCTCTCGGAGCTATAAAAACATCATGAGCTACTAGTGTGACACCCCAACCACTCCTCTGAACCATTTACCTACCAGGCTTCCATCTCAACAAAAGGTATTGGGCCCAATAAATTCCAAACCTTGCCCTTCTCCAAGGTTCCTTTCTGACAAAGGCCTCGATGAGCGCAGCTCAGTTCTTGTAGCACTTGACAGAGCTCAACGAGCCGGTGCCAATGTCGTTGTTACCACCAGCCTGGATATCGCCGGTACCACCACCATTGCAGGTGGTCGACCTAGAAAGAAGCACAAGTCAGCCAGAATGTCCCCACGAAGATACAAGCGGAAAACTCACTGCCAGAAGCGGCAGCGGTACCCGTTAGGGATGCTGACGGACTTGACATTGTCCATGACGGGACTGCCGTTCAAGTTGTCTGTATGCCATCAATGAATTAGTAATAATCTTTAATGGTGGTGGGCTTGGGGGTTTGATAGGCTGGAAGAGAGCGAAGGATAGGGCTGGGTCATGGTGGGAGCGGGCACGAACGGCAATCATTTTGGATGTAGACTACAATGTCAATGCAGTTCCCTCCCAAGTTGATGCCAGAGCAAATCTTAATGTCGATGCCCTCGTCTCTGGCCTCGAGGGTGCGGGCATCGAGTTCCATGGGCTCAGCGCTGGGCGCGGCGATGGCGCCAATGGCGCTCGCGAGCATCAGGATGGCTGGAGTGAAACGCATGATGAATAGTTTGGATAGTAAAAAACTGGTCTTGGGGAGAGAAGTATTATATCACGTATTCTCAGACCGAGACACTGCATTTTATACCCTTTTCTGGCCCCTCATTTTGGCCCTCTATTCTGGTCCCATCTTCTGGTCCCCAACCTGATTTGTGAAGTCAAATCATGCACAACGTAATCTAAATGAGAATGCAACACTATGTTGGCTAAGTGGAGACACGCGGTCTCTGGCTGACAAATGGAGAATATCCTCTTTTTTGAATAATAACATATCCCCAGTCGGTGAGGATCAAATCATCATGTTCGGTTCAAAGTCTAGACAAAATATACAATAGATTAAAGAGAAATCGGGCTAGGAAGAGAAAGCAATATACGACCACGTGCCGAATCCCCACTGGGGTTGAAGATGCATGCACAGCCCCAGGCCAATTGCGTAGCAAGACGTACAGCGGTAGTGGGGTCCACGGCTCGCCCCACGGGTCTTCCAGGAGCCGATGGCGGGCCGAGGCGCACATCCATGAATGGAGGGAGCTTATATAGAAACATATTCAGTGTTTAAGGCGTGATTTAGTATAACAATATATATACCTAGGTAAAAGAATATAGAGACAATCTCTTAAGAGAAAAAGAGAGAAAAGAAAAGACACACGCCAGATTTTGCGGAATGTGACCTTGTCTCACCGGTCCCTGCATGAATACAGTAAGCCAAGCTGAGCTCCAGGGTTAGCTGATTACTACGACCCTGTCAAACTTGGAGACCTCCAGGGCTGTACAGTGGCATTTGTAAGGCCCTATCAGCAGGTAGCGACCATCTCGAGGAGCTTATCCACTGCATCACAATCTCGCTGCTGCCCCCTTGGACAGGCTGGGCAGCACGAGTGTGGGTCAGCTCTTCAGATTATTAATCTGCGTCTTGGTGGCGGTTTTGACTGGTTGTGATCTATGTCCTCCAACAAGCCTGTCAGAAATACCTAAGCGTTGATTAGAAGAACAAAAACCAATTCAACTCATGCTTTCCGAATTCCCGAACTCCGGTTCTCTGAGCTTCCCATATGCAGTCTTTGGTCGTTCTCGAGGAACGCCATGCTGGGAACTACCTATCGGCTAGCCCGTCACTTCATCTTCGCTACGTTATGCTTGTGCTTAGTGCATGCTCTGTGTTTGGGTCACTACTGCGGCGTCATTGGCAAGCGGGCTCTGCATTGCACTCAGTAGGCTCCACATTATGGGAGTGTGAATTTATCACAGTCAGCAGGCTGCTCCGTACCAGAGGGGTCATGCTGTCAACGCTGCCCGTCAATTGTCAATTCCGGGAAATGGTGTTGGTATTGGACCTCTAGATCTATTACCGAAAACAAAATGCAAAGCTCGCTCCAGGAGAGCAGACGTAGGTTGAATAATATGTAGGTGAGTTACTTCCAGTCCAAGAGAATTCATTACCTCAGGTCGGAAGATGTTCTATATGATTATAGAGATCCCAGGAAGGAAATAAACGCGCTTGACACTAATGAGTGGTGACGTAGGCATTAGCAAGTAAATCAGTTTATATGGAAAGAATATAGCTATCCTAGATTGTGACCTGTAGTATGATTGGTCTGTCAGAAAGAAAGAAAGGGTAGAAAGAGAGAGGAATAATGACTGGACTACTCAAGAAGCTGAGAGCCTTTGCAGACTTAAGTCTAGAAAAGCAAATCCACTCGACTACATATCAGAAACTATCTATTTAATTTTGCAAAATAAATTGCCATAGGTGGTTGAAGAAGGTCTGTTCATTCCAATCTATATCTATACCTCTACTAAACAAAACAAAACGTGGGAAATCCATCACTGCGTAGCCAATACTTCCCTTGTAACGCCGTCGAACGAAAATCATATCTTGCACCTAGCCCCGTATTAACCAACATTGTTAAACGTCGACAACTTTGAACTTCATTTGGTAGGCATCGTCGGCTCGAAAAACGTGGATCAGTGATATACGTTTCACGCCCCGGCCATATGCGCCCAAAATAAAAAATGCCACAATTTTGCCAATTTCAGTACCTAGTAATCCTCTAAAAGTCTCTGACTCCGGAGGATAGCTCCGACCGTGGTCACCTATATTGCTCCCGGGTTTGTATACCCACTTCTCAATATAGGCGCGGGTATCCTCGTTCCCAATATCTGTCATATAGACGTATCTCAGGGTATCAAGACGAAAGTCACGTTCATAAGCAGCCTTGGTCAATTCGGATATGAACGGACCACCGTAATTCCTGTTTCTCTGCAAAAGGTCAAGAAAAATCACACCAGGTCCAGTTCGCCCTCTCCAATTGGTGCCGGTTTCGAGGTTTTCGAGGCTTATTTGTCGATAAACGGATTCGGAATGGAGATACAAGTCGCTCTCATCTGGGAGACCAATATTCTTCATCCAATTCCTATGCGTTGCTGACAGGAGCATAGGTTCGTGATTCACAATCCATCCTGAAGAAACATTCAATTTCGCCCAAGTCAAGATAGATCTACCAATTCCACACTCGGGTTCATCCGGGTTGGTCATCCATTCTTGTATTACTGACCCCTGCCTTTCGCGCACCAGGCGCCTCATACGCTCCATCGCCATGGCTCAAGGTCTGCCCTAATTGTGAATTTACTAGAAGTTGATAGGTGAAGTTAATCGGTAACTCGGGAAGGTATAGAAAATAATGATGATGAGCCTCGATGCTAAATTAGATGATACTCGAGCAGATTTATATACTTACAACTCGAGTATGGGACGTGTAGGAACAAGGAGAAGGCCTTTATATAAGACAATGGAATGAAACATATTGGAAATAAGCATGAAAATAGTTGCAAAGACAATGAGGAAAGTTCATTGCGACAAAGGGTAAAAGAAGTTAGTGAAAGTCAAAGGACTCGAAGAAAACCCCGGGAACAGGGGCCTGGGTTTTATTCTTGTCTTTATATAGAACAAAGATAATCTAAATGAACGAAAAGCGGCCGTTGAACAGGTTTCTTCCATCCCATTTCGCACTGAAATATTCAACAGTCGTATTTGTACTATCTATAATTGTATCGCTCACGGTTGTAGTGTGTCTGATAATATACCTAGAGTTACATTAAAGAGTATCTAGTTATTATACTTCCGATGTCCATCACCTTCAAATACAATTGACAGATACCCTCCCTAAGACAAACAAGCTACAATCCCCGCGATTGCCGCGAGTGTCCCGTCCGGATTCTTAACTTTTACAGTCTTCAACCCCAACTCAAATGCAGGATAATCATTCCCACCAGGAAATATCGCGTCGCCGATAAACATAATCTCCTCCAGCGCAATCTTGCTAAGCTCACTCAACCGCCTAAGCCCATAAGCCTTATCAACACCCTTCTTCGTAATATCCACACTCGTTGCCCCGCCCATATTAATCGACATATCGGGCAAGCGCTTTCTAAGGTCGGCTTGAATAACCTTCCTCTTCGCAGAGTCCGGATCACACTTTTCTTTCTCTGTAAGGGGTGCTTCTTGGCCAAATGCGGAGGAGGTGATCTGGCTCCCGCGGTCTTTAATGCTCTCGCTCTAGGTTTTTTCGGGGCTGAAGCCTGTTGCGGCGAGCGCGGCATTGAAGGCGGATAGAATGAGGGATTTTTGAGTTTCAATGAAGAGGTCGGCATAGAGGCGGTTTCATTCATTGATTCTGAGCTGAAAGTGTAGAGTTTTGTTCCTGTTGTTGGGAGAAGGAAGAGCTTTGATCTGTCTACGTGGGGTGGGAGGCGAGCAGCGATCTGCTTTTCGAATTGGGGCCAATCGCCGCCGGAGATGATGGCTACGTGGGCGACTTGGAGGAGAGACGTTAGTGCTTCGGCCATCTCGTTGTCGCGGGGTTGTGAGAGTGATCAAAGGCTAGACAATGATGAGGCACCACGGAAGAGAATGAAACAGATCGAGAACACGCCCGTCGCAGGCAGGTCAAGATCTACACCACTACGAGCTCGTACCACTACGTCGAGCTCTAATGGACAGGAGACAAGCCAAACTTCAGAAAATAAAAGGAAGTGGCTTTCTACAGGCAAAACACAGGTGGGGCATATTTCTGTAAGCTCCTACTCCGTGATTTGAAGTAGACTTATGGGTTCAAGAGTTAAGAGGTAATGTAATGTACCGCCTCCCTACGGGGTGGTAGTGGCCAGGGGCCTTCGTGGCTAGCTGCGGATTGAGCGTTGTGCCCAAAACACTACATATGAGGACTGTATGTAGAACATTGATGTTCTGTTGCTTTAATGAAGGATTGCATCCTTTCTATAGGACTTTCGGACTCGTATGACCTTTTGCTCTTTGAGAGAAGTTTATGGGATTACCCAAATTAAGGTATCATTGCTAAACTTATGCATACAATTCTACTCTGTATCACTGGAATGTCGACTTATGTATTTCAACCGAGTAAGAACTCAGTACAATGATATTATTAACATTAGGATACATGAGTGAAAAAAAAAAAGAAAATAGATGACAGAGACAACATGCTTCAAGTATGCAAAAGAGATTAATTTGCTCATTCATGTTCGTCGTGATGGCCGTAGCCGTTTTATGACAAGAAACAAAAATGCTCCAAAAAGGATGGGGAGCTTATGGTTTGGCGAGTTGTTCCTTACGGAAGAACAGCAAGAATCCGGCACTGTAGATAAATGTTAGAAAAATTATTCCAATATGAACGAAACAAGCAAAGATCAACATACCAGATCAACAACTGACAGAACAAAGCCACCCAGAACCAGGCATTAGCTAAGGCATGGGCGCCCTGGGTGATGTCAGGAGAAATCGGACCGGGGCCCACACTGTTGGGGCCGAAAGCTCGGGCGCAGATAGTCGCAATGGAACCAAGCACCTGAGATGCAACGAGAGCGAAACACATGTGGACTCGAGTGAGAGTCTGCAGAAGGATGATACCAAATCCAAGACCTTGGATGGAATCCAACACGCCCAGCCACAGCCAGAGACTGCGGGAGACGAGCGCGCCGGAGGTGTAACTACCGGCCCAGGGCAGATAGTACCCTACGCCGGAGATGGCCCACCAGATTTGGATGAAGCGGGGTGCGCCCAGACCGCAAGCGAAGACAGGAAGGAACCAACTGTGTTTCTTGGACCATTTGCTGACGACGAAGAGGAAGATGCACCAGACAAAGCCGAAGAAGACAATGCAGAGAAGGACGATTTGCCACGGGTGGGTGTGCTGGGAGGTCCACAGGACTGGAGGAGGGGAATGTTAGTATTGAGGGATGTGCGAGATTGAGGATGGGATAATTAAACTTACAGCTCCAGTTGCGACCATATGGTGCACTGAGGAAGAAGTTCTGCAGGATGACCGCGACGAAGTTCCAAGCGACGATCTTTCTCCGGAAAAGGGACTTGTAGAAGGATGGCACCTTGCCGGGCTTCTGGCGGTAGTAGTTGGGAAGTCCCAAAGCCAACAGGACACCGACAATACACAGGAAGGCGGCGATGGGGTAACAGATCGCGCTGGAATAAGGTCAGTACACAAGTGAGGAGATATGATTGCGGGAGTATTTACCTCATTTTCCAGCTATTGGCAATGTTGGTCGTAGCGGTCAAAAGACCATCTGCGTTGGCCTTGGTCATAGTAGAACCCCAGTACCAGAGGGCAATAACGTATACCTGCTGGATACCTTGAACTACACAGGCGCGGAAAATCCAGGTTTCAACGGGAGCACCTCCTTCATCACCAAAGTTGGAAGCGAAGAAGATGGATCCACTGGCGGAGGCCGCGGCATAGAAACCAGTGCCGACATTCTGGATCCATCCCCGACTGAAGGAATCGCTCTGCCAGTGAGCAGATCCAATCAAGAGGAATGCAAGACCGTATAGGAACCAGGGAGTAGAAAGACAGACGACAGACTTAAAGTACCGGAACACGAGCCACCAGCACATGGATGCAATGGCATATGTTGTCGCAATTCCATACAGCTTCTCCGCAGTCTGACCAACTTCACCTGTGAGTAGAGTGATCTGGTAAGAGTTTGCGGCGATGATCTGGCCCAGAGCGAGGAAGATAGAGTAGACGGGCCAGTCTCCAATCTTGATCTGCATCCATTTCTTGAGGCCAGTGGGAGGAACATAGTCCTTTCCGAGAAGGAACTCATCATCTTGGAGAACATCTTCGTTGCTGTTCACGTTGGAGACGAGATCATCGCTGTAGAACATGTTGTCCGGGGTATCAGTGTTCCTTGATGAATGGCGAATCGATGGCGTGGGAGATTTGCTGCGACCCAGTCTGGCATTGCGGAACCTGTCGAACCACTGCTGCTCACTCTTAATCAGGAACTCTTCGATACAAAGTTGCGACTCAGAGTTGGATCCGTTCAAGATATCCAATTTCTTGTCAAACGTCCTGTAGTACTCGCCAGTACTATCTGTGAAGAAAGGATCAACCTTCTGTAGCTTGAAGTCTGTCTTGTTGCCGACAACGGAGTCCAGGGAGAGAACGGATGCGGAACTTAAACGGTTTGACTGAGCAAATGGCTGGGGAGGAAGGAGAAGACTGTCCGCGTTCGGCGGTGTTCCTGGGCTTCCCGGGCTTTCCAAAGGAACCATGAACCTGGGATGCAAAGACTCTTGACTGACTTCTCTGGTTGGAGAAGAAGGAGGCAAGTTATGAGAACGATCCCTTTGAGCAGCCTGGGCTCGTCGTCCTGCCTCGACTTGGGCGGGGGTGAGAGTGTATTCGTCATCGGCAAAGGCGCGGTGGGCAGCGTCGTCGTCGCTACTATCGTCGCCTTCGACATCTGTGTGTCCATTCTCATCGGCTTCTGGGATACCCATACCCGCCTCTGCTCTTTTGCGACGTGCAGCATGACCGGGGCCTGAGCGGACACCAAGGGAGAGAGAGCGACTCAGTCCCGACTTCGGTTTCTCCGTTTCCTCCATGCTAGGATCTGGGCTGTAGCTGACCTTCTTTTGTGGGGTCATGTTGTTCATTTGATTGAATGAGTAGCTGCTTTCTCTGGAATGCGCGAATGGAGAGTTCATGCCGGGTGAAGGCATCCCATTGCCGAGGCTAGTCATAGAGTTCATTGCTGAACTGAGACTGCCAAATCCAGAAGAAGTGCCAGGTCGAGGGTTGTTGTTGTTTGTTTTGACTTTGTTGTGAACCGCAATGGCAGTAGATTGGAGGATCTCAAGATCCTCAACCCATTGAGCAACAGGGAAACGCTGTTTCGCAGATCTCGCACGCATCATCGCACGGACGGATGTCTTGGAATTCAGGGCAGCCTCAATTGCAAGCTTGAATTGCATGAGGAGGTGAGACGTCGAGATAGATTCCACATTGTACCACCAACCTGGCATTTGGCCAAGACCACCAACACGAGCTCCGATACCCAATGCACCCTTTCGGCCAAACTCTACGGCAACCAAACCGAAGGGCTCGTCACGAGATGGGATCAGGGCGAACTCGGCACCAGAGAAGATGAATGGAGGAAGTGCAGTGAATTCAGGCTTTGAGAAGACTCGTCCGGGGTAGACTTTCATCATGTGGTCAAGCTTAAGGGCAGCAAATTTACCGTAGAGATCGATAACGGGGCCAATACAGATCAACTGCACGTTGGGCCGAGCTTCAATAACAGCAGGCAGTGCGTCCGCAATAAGATCAACACCCTTTTGCATAGACCAGCGACCGACAAAGACAAGCAGGTCGGCATCAGGGTTCTGGTCGAGCCCTGCCCATTCCTGGGCCTGTCTCTTAAGCTCACCACGGCCAGCTTCGTATGTTGGATCCACAGTGATATCCGCCTCTTTAGTAGGCTCCCTTGTCCACTCACCAACATCAGATGGATCAGGGTTGGGCAGATTTCCGACCTTATGCAAACCCCAGAAGATAGGGTAGCGAGCATAAGAACGTTTTCCGTACTTCTTAGAGACACCGACGGCACCGAAACCTTGCTGGTGAACACGGAGATAACTTGCGCCAGCGTGGAGCAAGTTAAACACTTCACCGAATTGCACGTAACGACGAGCGACCTCTTCATCAAGGTTGAAGACCGAGCAAACCTCCTCTTTTTCCTTAATGGTTCGCATAGGCCAGAGACCCTGGAACTCAGCGTTGTGCAATGAAAGACAAGCGGGGATGGTTCTTGGTAGCAAGTAAAGAGGTGCGAGAGAGCCGTGGTAATCGTTGATGTGGTAGGTATCAATTGGGAAACGCTTGATGGCTTCAGCGACACACTGGTTCCACGCGGAATAGTACACCGCACTGTCAAGGTCATCCATACGAGGAGGGTAGGGCTCGGTCTTCGACTGTTGGCGGAACACTGGAGCATCAAGCAGGACGTAGGTGATATTATTCAAGACGTGGTACTGGACTTCAACCTGGTAGGGGCTGCCGAGGATAGTGACTGTCATAGGCTCTGCCACCTGGTCCACAGGGTAGTCGACACCTCCAACGCAAGGCACAACCCAAATTAGATCTTGGTGACCTAGGGTCTTACCCATGAGCTGGGCCATGACACCAAGACCACCGATCTTGATTTTGATAGCCCAATCCTCAATATCATACTCCATGGTGGCGATTAGAACCATACGTCGCTTCCCAGATGCAAGAGCTCCACCCAGAGCGGAGGTACTCTGCATGAAGCCGGATTTCTTGGCCAAGCCCATGAGTGGGTTTGAAGATGGATCCCTGTGAGTGGTGGACTTAATCTTGTTCCAGATTGCGAGAGGAATGTTTTGCTTCTCGCTCACACCGACTTGGTTGAATTTGACCTTGTAGAAAGACTTCATGAAGATGTACACACATCCCACGGCAGTGAGGAATGGTATGATCCAGAACAACACGAACAGGGCAATCTGAGTAGATTGAGGTCCAACCGGATCAAGCCAGAAACGGAGCGTTCCATCGTCGAAGTAGAGCTTGTGTGAGAGGTATCCTTTAGCTGGCGCAAGGGTGATATTGATCAAAGTTGCACTAAGAGCAGACGGGGGACTTCTGTCCAGGATTGTATCATTGTCAATGTCACCCAAAACCCAGCTTTGATCGGGCTTTCCGTCTGGATTGATTCCCCAGATGTTGAGCTGCCCGACTGCGGGCCATTCGGATGTGAAATGGTACCACCAGACTCCAGTTTTGGTGTCAAACTTGATTTTGTTGTCGAGACCCGCGTCGTATCCATACTGATTGTAAGGTCCGTTGAAGAAAGCATGTGGGAATCGTCGTGTGGTTGGGTAATTCCACTCAGCATCACCTTGCTGCACATAATCGCTGCTTCCGGTCAAACGACTCCAGTACTCGACACGTACATGTTCACCCTCCCACTCCTGGGCCTTGGTTCCTGACCATGGGAGCTTGGTAATGGTATCATTTCCACCTTTGTAGTCTTTCCAGCCGGAAAACGACGATGCCCAATTTGTAGAATAACGATACTTGTCTGCACCGGCAGCGTGATGCTGGATAAACAGGTCGCCGTTTGCTTTCTTGTGGAGCAAACTGCTGGAGTAGTTCGCAGTATTGAAGACCATAGGGTTATCGATCTGACCGATACGGAAGAGGAAGTGATCAACAGAGTAGGTAAAATCGGTTTTGCCGACGTTAGATGCGTTGGTGAGAGTCATTTTGTGAACTCCGTTGTACACTCCAGTGAGGTTTGCTGTCCACTTCCAAACGCTTGGGATCTCAGCGGTCCAATTTGTTTGGAGCATGCTAGTAATATTTGTGCACTTGACGTTGCTGGAAGATAGGACTGGAGTCTTCCCAATCTCCGTGGATGAATTGAAGGTAATTCCTTCGGTTATCGAGTCACAGTCCATTTCTTCTGAGAAGTAAATTTCAACCTCCACTTTCTCGGGAAGGTTGGGCGCCACGGTAGAACGGATGGGGTAATCATGGCCAGGAGTGAACTTGGTGATCATGGGCCGAGGTGTTTTGTGTCTAGCAATAGGGACATATGCGCGGAACTCGTATGCCTTCATCTTCAAGCTTTCCACACAGCCGTTCAACTCTTTAGATCCATTGAAGCCGAGGGTGCGCGCTCCATCTATCAGTTTGACCTCGTCATACGGGTAGAAAAGGTTCTTGACAGTGACGCCAGAAGCAAATGGAGAGGTGAGTGTCTTGTTGGGATTTGTGGAGCTGCAGTCGAAGGTGTATGTCCTCGTGTCATTGAGGTTTTGGTAAACAAGCCAGACCGGTTGGTTGTTGGCATCAGAGCCCAAATCTTGCACCTGGGTGTTGACATCCCGGTAAATGGACCACATTCCGGTCTCCGTGGCCGTACCGTTGGAACCAGGGTAGTAAACGTAATCGGTTCTCTTGGACAAATTGCCAAGGGAATAACCGTCGTTGAGAACTGGGAACTGTTCGCGCAAGTGGTACATCTGCTTCATGATATTTCGCACAGGATGGGAAGGGTCGCGGTGGTCGTAAGCAGTTGCTACGTCCTTGCAGCCCGATTTAGCGGCGTCAAGAGGCCACTTGTAGTACTGGGATGACATCAAGTTGAAGCAGCCGTGACTCGTCCACGCGGTTGCAGGTGACATTGGCTGTCGCCCATAGATGTAGTTCTCCGCGGTGGCGTCTAAGATATAGAAGTTCTGCTCTTCGCCCCAAAGAAGAAGCGGGATTCCGGGGAGCATCAATGTAGTCACGTAAGCACCAAGTAACTGTCGATGCGTACCGTTGGCAATCGATGGCCAACGGAAGACATCTTGATTCGTGGCACCATACATGTGTCGAGGATCGAACTTGCCGGTGTTAGCATTGATCAAATCGTTTGATCTCAACATGTAGTCCCAGCCCTCAACCCAGTCATCAGGCGCATCGTAACCAGCTGAAAGTTGCCCGTCCATGCCGAGGAATCGAGTCAAGGCACGATATGTTGTGTAGTGGAAGGCCGCACTATCGATGGCTTCGTGTCCCGCTTCGCGTAAGAACCACTGGGCAGAGGACTCATTCGTCAACTTCATTGTGGCCGCTGAATCAGCAGGCCACTGGTTGCGCTGTCTACCCCTTCCGAGGTAAATTGAACCAAAGTCATTTCCACCAGTGATTTCGCCAGTGATAAAGAAATTTTCCTTTCCGACCGCGCGCGCACATTCTCGATAGGCAGCGGACATGTCTCCCAGGGCATCCACGGTGGATTGTGTGCCCTTATCATAACGGAAGCCATCAATATCCAAAGACTGGATGATCATGCACGAGTGCCGGATCAACCTTGCGCGCACACTTGGGTGCCATTCACGGAGACGATCCTGGACGGAGGCGAACTTGGCCAGTTGACGCTTCCAATCAGGCCACACACCGAAAGCCTCAATGTCACCGTACTGATCGAAGTCGCTGTTGAAACATCCAACCAAGGCCGAGGTCTCTGTTTCATTCACGGGAAATCCATCTTCGAACCAGAATCGAGGGTAGTCACAGGTCGTGTTGTAGTCAGCTCCAATGTGGAAGTCTCTGTACTGGCGTTCAGTCTTCCATAGTGTCTTGTATTCTTTCTCCGAAAATGGTGTCGATGTGTTGAGATGGCCTTCAAATCCAATCAAGTCACCCATTCTGTATATATTTGGTTAGCTCTACTCTCTTATTTCCGCACACGGTGATAACTTACGTCGCAATGGTATTGTCGAACAAGACATACATCCCGCGCTTGTGTATCTCGGTGATGGCGTTTCGCCAAACCTGAATAGTGCCGTAATGCATATCGAGAATCGTGGTATCCAAAACACCGTATCCGTCCGAAGTCCACGGCTGGTTCAGCAAAGAGGTTCCTGCAATGTAGATACCCTGGAGATTGTGAGCATATATTTTCTTTCAGTTAAAAGACCACACATGAGACAAACCTTGATTCCCATTCCCTGGAGATAATCCAATGTATCAACAAGACCGGCCACATCACCACCATGGCGAATACGTTGGTCGACATCGTGCTCGAAGGTGGTACCGTTTGCGTTGTCATTGGTAGGATCACCATTCACAAAGCGATCCAAGAAGAGAGAGTAGAATGGAAACCGCCAGTTATCCGGGGAGGGGTTATATTTTCCCTCGTGGCCAGGCCATGTTCCCCAGTAATCTGCCGGATCGGTGGCCGTCTTATTTTCGTTGAGGTTATAACCCACGTAGGTCTCGTCGTAGGGCCAAGCTGTGACAGTCGTCACGAGAAGTGAGACCAGCCCGCTGGCAAGTGACCACTTCATGGCTAGTACTGACGGCGCGGAGCTGTTGAGTATTGGTCGCGCGCGTCAGGCAGTGCGGATATCCCCGCTGGGATGAGAAAATGACACCCTATTAAAGAGATGGATATGTGTAGCTCTCAATTGCCATGGAGCGGTGGAGTGTGGATATCCTGTGGAGGTCCCGTCACAAATTCCCAACAGAAGGCGTCGAAGGGGGCTGTATCTTTAAAAAAAAAAAAGAAGATAACGACAGGCGGAATAAGCAAACAAGCGAACGAGCGAACGAAGGACGATGGATGAGAATTGTAAACGAAGGAGGAATCAAATGTGAAAGTGAGAAAGAAATGATCACATAACACCAGTGCGCAGTTCTAAGTGTTAAAGGGCTAGTCGCATTGAAGCTCAAGATAAAAATAAAAGCAGATGAGACAGAACCCCATATCAATTTTAGAGCCCCAGACTGTATTGGAGTATCTTGGGTTCCAAGGCCTCAGCCTCGGTAATTTTTGTTTCTTTTCCTTTTTGGGCTTAATTCGACGTATTTTTAATTTAACTTCTTTTTCTTCTTTGGATATAAATTTATCGCCTTGTCTTGGCATCAAATGCGACTGGTGGCGATTAATACCACCAGAATACACCAAGAAAAAGCACCGGCATTCTTCTCCGAATAGGAAACCCGTTTCGTTTAAAGGAGTAATAACTGGAGCCTGACAACGGAGCTACCCGATTATCATGAACGTTCTATATATACTATTGGATGGATTCAACCCATGACGCCACTTACCAGACCCTGATAGTATCTTTACGACAGTTGCAAATGTAGTCTCCTTATCAGGGGGCGGGGGACACAGGATGACTTTATAGCCTCAAAGTTGTCTGGTTTATACGTCTATTCTCTAAAACTCGATAATAAAAAAAAGTTAAGATAGTGAGACATGCATACAAGATTGTAAATTGTGGGTGATTTTCACGTCTGCCGACTATTTGCAGCAAAAGTTTCTATTCTACCGGTGATTTTCCAGACCCGTAAATTTCAACCTATGAGAATGGCGAGATACCTCTCGCGTGGATTTGGGGCCGAGATCCTGATAGCCCGACCCGCCCGATTGGCCGGCAAAGTGAGACCCACCCCCACTTGGCGTTGTACGACCGTGGGTATACGAGATAGTGTATGGCACTTGTTTTTTTCAGTTTCATTTTCCTCCCCCCCCCTTCCCCTTTAACCTTTCAAGGTTTTTCCAAGGTTTATTTCCCTTTTGGTTCCTTGGGAGCTCAACCATGGGGCGAATATAAATATCCTTTCATGTTTTACAATGATGGCCAATGGCGAACAAGGAATGATGTCAAGATAGATAACTTCTGTGTAACCAAGAGCTGCACATCCGGCATGTCCGCTATGCCATTTGATTTTAGTTCCTTGAGTGAATCTTGGAAATCTTGAAAGTATGTTATATACCAGGGAAAAATAAGCAAATAAATCTCTGCTAATCTCCACATGGTTTGATATCCCTGTAATACGGAGTAATTACCGTAATGTGATCCTGGTATCAACGCCACTTCACACGGAAGTCCGAGAAGCCGTCAACAGGCGAGCATGGGGCAGAAAATCTCGTACAGCCACCTACAGTCACTTATCTATCACATCGGAATACACTCCGTACTCTGTTCATTTTCTACCTCCTTGTTCCTTTTTCGGGGGGGAAAAGGGGGG